AAATATTAGACGTCATATTTAATAATGATTATCACTAAGTGCAATCAAAAGCTGCTTATAAGCAAGACTGTCTGGCATAAAGATCGATAAGGCAAATTTTCACGACAAAATAATACATTCTAAGTAATTTTTTTAAAATTCTGATATACTTGATCAATTTTGTTGATCAAAAGATTTTCAAATATCTAAAATTTAAGGATGTTTATTGAGAGAGAGAGAGAATTTATGTGAAAATTATAAATAAATTTATCAAATCTTGCTTTTCTTACCTGAATATTGTGTGAAATTTATAATTAAATTCTTATTTATTTTTGTACTTGTAGAAAGTCGGGATGTGAGAAGCAACAGATACAGCCTACCTCCTAGAACGAGTCTGGACGACGGAACGTCGAGCAATAATAACAATAACGGGAAAAACGGTGCTAGGTAGGTGCGTCGAGTACCGCGTATGATTGCGAAGCGACAGATGCGAGTATAGATCATAAGATCAACAGCAGTTAGAAGGAAATGAAATTTCGCTTTTCAGCCTCAACGGGGTCCCGTACGTAGCGTCTGTTTCGCGTAGCTCGTTTGGTAGATACGCCGCGGCTAGACCGCCCTGTTCCATGGCAAATGTGAGTACGATATAGAGAAGTAGAATGGAATGGATGTCATAATTTATTTATTAATTTCGCTGCATTCTGTTGCAATTTTCTATGTATAAAAATGTGTATTTCTATGAGATTGTAATGTATTATGGAAGAGCAAAAAGTGTTTTGTATATCTGCAATGACATCACTAAAATTACAACCAAATTTTAATATTTGCGAAATATAAATAATAATTTTTTTTAGAAGTCAAAACACAAAAGGCACCTTCTTGGCGAAACGAATATTTGTGTAGAAATTTCTTTCTCGCTTGAATTCACTAACATTGACGCATACTCGAGACTAATCACGCGATCCCGGTTATCTATCTCTTTTTTCTCAAGCTTTTAACATTTTTTTAACATTATAACGCATCATAGAGTGACTAATCCATAAATATTGACGCTTTCTTCTAGATAATCCATAACACAGCGATGCTTGGTCAATCAGCCGAGCGTACTGGGTGAGTAAAATTCACGCATCGAGATGGTCTAATTCAAGCCTCTGCTTTTGTCTTTTTTAATATTTAATTGAAGATTATTATACGTAATGATAGAATTGCACATAAAAGGAATATTATTATGTATAATAATATTCTTTTGGTTGTGATCTTGAAAGGCCACTCTCTCCAAGTTACGTACAATAAAAATTTAATTTATGAGACACCAAGACAAGCTTTAGTCACAAAGTATGAAACAATTGTCCACGTAGAGAATTTTATATAGTACAGAATGTGAGAAAAAATTGTGTGAGAAGAATATGTGTGTTACCTGCATTTATATTTATTTTTGCATATTGTTGCTGCACCATAAAACAATTTATTATCATAAGCTTTAATTAATCCTGTTCTAAGAGTTTTCGACGTATACTTCTGTACAACACTTTAAATAATTGGAGATGCTTCAAATAATTTGTTGCGATAACGCATTAAGTCAATAATTATTGACTAATTTTATCATTTATCATAATAATCGGAGGATTCATTGGATGTACGACGATCCCGCAGTAATGTTCACTTACCGAGATAGCTTGCCGAAACACTATTTTTACACTGAATGCATAAACGTTACCTCTTGCCAAGGCACATCTAGGCGGGCGTTAAATATTTCCGGGTCACCGTGTGAATTTGAAATGTTGAAGTGTGATGATGATCTCGTGAATCTGTGTTTTATATGAGCAAAATGTAAATAGATTAAACTTACAATTGTTAATATTTTTTTGCACATTAAAAGTATATTTCTCTTTCTTTTAATATCTCGATATTATACAATTTTGCGATAGTATTATTTTGTTCATTAAACAATACGTGATCTGAAATGAAATTTAGGTGATCTAACATTTTTAACTTGTCACAATACGTTAAATAATTTCACATGTTTGTACACATTATATTAAAGCTGTTGAGTTTTTACAGAAATTATATTTTTACGGATGTTTTTTCGCGTACGTGAATAAAAGAGTAAATTAATTGTATAGTTAAATAAATTCATCGGCTGGCGCCGATTGGTAATGTTGAAATGTTATACATAGAGTATGCTCATACAGTAATGATTATAATTTAAATATAATAGTAGCAGTAATATAAATAATACGTATAATAATACGTAGTAATATAAATACGAGAGAATCGTTATGTCGTGAATATTTGTAATATCGCGATGTGTATATATGAATTAATTGCACAAAGAAACAGATAGTAAAGTACAAAAAATTCGCAAAATGCTGTTTTTCTCGTGCTTGAAAACTTAAGACTCATTTACGTTCCGACTTAATTTATATAATTTATGAGTATGTACAATATATTTATTTAATGTGCTTCATGTAAATTGTAGCTTATAAGTTTCTATGTAATTATTTTTGCACCTGAGTTAATCAACTTAATAAAGATTTGCTAATTTGCTGCGCATAAAATGACGTTTACTTTTCTTCAAAAAATTGTAAGAAATCAAAGGTTAAAAAATTGTAAGAAATCAAAGAAAAATTTTGATATTTTTAAATCGACGAAAAATCGAGATTTTTTTAACTTTATCTTCGACTCATTTATAATTTAAAACATTAATGTACATTTTCAGGCGAAATTTTACATGCACAAATATGCTGAAAAATAAAACTGCTTTCATAAATGAAACAGCGATTGTCTTAGTTCAAACAAATATCAAAATGATTGTGCGAGTTACATGTTTATGCAAGAATAAATTCTATGAATGTGATAACATTATTATCTGCGATTATATTAATAAATGTAATGACTAAAGTAGCTGCATATTTTACAGTAATTATATAATTTATTTATACACAGTGAACTTGATAAATGTTTGAACAAAAGTAATAAAAATTCTGTATTATTTTGTTTGTCTAATAAGTTATTTTTTCAGTGTGATTGATATTTTATAATTAGTTTTTATTTTTTATTATATTTTAATTTTATAATTTACATTTGCATAACAAATTATACGATTTTCTACTGTTTCACCGTTTGCCAGCATGAGAGAAGCATGTTTATTGTTGAGTGCGCACATACATACAAGAACTTTGTATATTTTCTGTATAATTATTATTCTTTGTATTCTATTTTTTATAAATGTGAGCGTTGTATTTCAAAGAGTTAAAAATCGAAGAAATTAATCTTCGAAATTAAGAAAAAACAAATAGTGAGCCGTATAAGTTTGCTCCGTATCGGTTCTTATTTTTCTTTTCTTTATCTTTTAATTGTCGAGCCGTCTTTCACATCTTTATACTTTTTCCTAATTTCCACAGTAAGTTACACAATACGAGTGTTTAACGAACGAAACAGAATCTTCTCTGAAGAGACACTTGTGGGGGATTCGCATGAACTCGAAAATGAGACAGGAATATAATTGCATGTCGCTGTCAACTTGCTTGCTCGCGCTGTCACGACTTGATCGGGCAAGTTGATTTTTCAGCAATGACGATAGTCGCAACGCGTCGCCGCTTCCACCGCCACTGGAACCTCCGCCAAAGCTAGAACGACCGCGCTCCTTGAGTCTCTACTCCGAGGAGGAGCAGAAGCAACGTAGCATCGAGATGAACACCGTCCCGACACCCATTGTGCCGGACAACCAGACGAAACCGTTTGTCCCGATCCTGCTGGAGGCCGAGAAAACGGAAAAGAACGTGAAGCCGTCGCCGTCGTGCGGTCAGGAGGTGACCACCGGCGTCAATCAACACGGACACTTGGATCTTAAGTTTTATCACTCGCCCTTATGGTGAAACGATCTGGCTAATACGTAATCGTCTTTTTCTCCAGCTCAAAATATTTGTTTCCGAGAACAGATTGGACCAACTTGAGTTAGCATTAATCTTCTCGGTTTTCTTTCTCTATCTCTATGTAAGAAAAGATACGCGTAATCGCTAACTCAGGATTAAGACATTACGGTCCACAGAGGATTCTAAATCACCATTTGCTATCTAGTTGAGTTAAGCCGGAATATCACTCCGTTTTTGCTCTGACATCTTTCTTGCCGTGAAAAGAAATGATCTTACGCTTTGAAAAAGTGTAGATTAAAAGAAATTAGCGCAGAATTTTTTTTTTCATTTTTTCTAATATTTCTGACATAGTTACAATTTTTTTTTAGATAAATTTTAGCAATGTATGTTGTAAGATGTAGGAAAGAATATAAATTTGAAAAAGAGCTATTAGAAGGAAGCATCCAAAAATCTTATAACTTCATGAATTTAAAGATTCAGAAATTACTTTCATAAAATCAATACCTGCTCACCTTTTTTAAGTTATCTATATATGCAGATAAATTTATATATCAACGATATGCGTGGCGAATAAATTGTGTATTCATGTTTGTTTAAGACATACGTATCATCTGTGTAAATCTCAGCGACAAGATGATGAACACTGATCACAGTTATAGTTACATTTGAAACATTATCATTCGTAAAACATAAAACGATATTGCGTATCGTTTCTGTTATCCTATTATGAAAGGACCTCGTGTAAGAAAATATAAAGCACAAAACTTTATAATTTTGGCAGCGAGATAGACAACAGTACTCAAGAATTTTTTAAATTAAAACGTAAACTATATAAAGCTAGGCAAAGTATTCAAAGATTTTATCAATATAATTTATTTATTTATTTTTATTTATTGATATAGAAGAAAACTACGCAGTATTTCTCGCAGCATTTTGCTTCATATTAACGACTGATCGATATTTATTAAAATAATGCGTGCACGTAATGCATAAATATATATAGAACAAACTGCTTATACGTATAATAAACACCTTAGAAACGCATGGCAATTAGTTTTGATGTTATATCGATATGTATATTAGAATGGGCGCACTATAAATGGAATAGAAATACGACTATATTAGCGAATATTAACATTATCAATTGAAGACTGTTAACGTGAAACCGTACCAAAGCATACAGTATATCATGCGTAGGTGTAATCAAGATCTTCATTAACATTTCAGAATGTACAATCCAAATAGAGGGACATTCTACAGAGATTATAAGGACTACAGTTAAAGAAATGGGGCGATATATCAATGGTCTGTGTTAGGAAATTTTCCGCTGGACATTTCCCAGTGAACAATCGTTATTAGTAATGAATGTTACTTTACAAATTGTTACCCTAAACGTAATTATCGATCAATATCCAAAAATACATTAAGCTATAATAAAATTGGATACTTATATCTGTCGTCCCAACTACAAGAATTTTATATAATCCATTCATGAAGTTATATACAACATGCTTATAACGAGAAAAAAGATAAATAGATACACATAAAAAAATGAGTGTGTGCGTCTTGTTTTCGAATAGGAAGAAAATAAATAGATACATATACAGATAAAAAATAGTTATTTATTTTGAAACATGTATAACTCATGTATACTTCATGACAAAAAATATTTGCAACATTTTTTTTTTATAGCGTATTTTTATTTCTCTATCAGACTTTTATTAACTTATATATATAACTTATACATAAATATATATACTTATACCTTAATATAAGTATATATATTTATCACATAAAATACTACCCACAACTAGTTCTATACACAATCACATAAACTCATCGATTAAAATCTCCATAATCAAATTAAAAAAAAAAAATTATGAAAATCTAGCATAAAAAATAACAATATTCAAACATCATATTCAGCTCCAGATATTTTCTCGTCAGTAATCCACCAAATTAAACTTTTGCAAGTATCTTGTTCCAAGTATATGTACCCTATCAGCAAACCTTGGAATACACCAAGAGCTATACCTGCCAAAACATCAAATACATGATGTTTCCTCATCAGAAGCTTGGATGTACATACTGAAAAGCACCATGCCAACAAAGGTGGTACACATATCAAAGGTAAAGGCCATAGATTAAGAAAATAATATGCAACAAATGTTGCACGAGCCGCTTCTCCAGATGGAAAGGAATCTTTAGCAGAAGAGGGATTATCGTTCGCTGTAGGCCGCCTCCTTCTTGTTATTGCTTTTAGTACAGCGACAAGAATAATGTCAAGCACCAATCCTGTAACAATTTTTTTTTTTAACATCTTCAAAAGTGTCAATATATTAATGGTATTAGAAATTTACCTATTAAAAGATTAACTTGCATCTGATATAAATTTGGGTTGTTGAAAATCCAGATTAACATGAGATTAGTCGTCAGCCATGCTATGCTATTACAAGATATCTAAAAGATAATAAAAAATAAAGAAAAATATATACGCAATAACGTCATACTTTAAATAATTAACATATGAATAATTAATCTTACCTCCAAAACTTTATAATGAGTTTTTAGTTGTCTTAAATATAAAAATTGTTCTCCCCAACTGGCAAAGGCATGGCTTAAATAAGCATCAACTGCCAAGAGCTTTCTAAGTGTTGATGGCACTTCCCTTTTTTCCTCCTTAAATACAAAATAAATAATCTTTTAATTCGTACACATAATTAAAGTAAAAAATGATGAACAAATAGATAATGTTTCTTTATATAAATGACAAAAAACTAATTAATAAATACATATGAATATAAATATACGTTACAGATGTTGAAATACAATAATTAAATGTAAAAAATAGTAAACACACACAGTAAAATAGCAGAAATAAAATTAAACATACAAATTGTAGGTTATAAATAGCAAACATACCATTCTCGTGCTCTTCTGCTAGAATTAGCAGAACAGTTACAAGAGTCGCTATCGTTGACTGATCACACTAGCTACTTTTATAAAAAGATTATACCTTATTTTGATAAGAGCAGCTGAAGATAATCTACATCGAATATAAATACAAAATGATTCAGCTCTACTTAGCTCATGATATGATTACGATCTCAATTCAACCGATTCAACCACAGCGACTGCGACGTTCGTAACGGAATCTGCAGAAACTAAAGAAAAATTTTTCTCGTTTGACGTTGTATAACTCAACTTGAGTTGTGCTCATTTCGCAAATAATCGCCGTTCAAATCGAGCTAGTAGTACAAGTCAACGATAAATCAAATGTACTTTCTTTTTAGTAGCACAATTCAACGTCAAGCTAGAGTTTTTGTAAACAAAAATAATTTTTTAATTCAAAAATTAAAATTTAAGAACTAAATTTTAGTTAGTAGCAAAATACAAATTTGAAAGAGACAATTTTGAGATAGCACAAATTTTAAAATACATTTTTTTCTATAAGATTTACGTTAAGAATTCTAATTGTTTGTATCGGAAAGTTAAAAAAAGATTTTTTTATTTTTATATGTATTGCCAGAGCCGTATTTATATACTTTTGGAGGCCGTAGGCGCAACACCATTATGAGGACTCAAAAGAACAAGTTTATTTCAATTAATCAAATTTACATACATTTTTTTTTTAAGTTTTTGAGTTTTATTGCAAATAAAAGTCGACATGCATTACATGATGTAAAAAGGCGTAATTTAATAAACAATTACTGCTTACAAATTTTTCAGCGGCCTCTAGTTGTTATATTATTTAATATTTAATATTTAAAATTTAATATTTAAAAGTAAGCTAATAGCTTTAACGTCGACAACCAAATAGTACCTTTAAAACTTTTAAAACTTCTTTTAAACAAATCAATGTGTTTTGTGTTAGTTCTATAAAAGTTTATTGGCAATAAACCTCTACATTTTTTATAAATACAACATAAGAAACAGAGTATGTATATTTAAAATAACGTAAAATAAGATTTTTGTTCAAAGCACTAACAATTAAATAAGACATTAATTTTATACAAAGTAAATTTTAATATCAACATTTTTTAATATTTTCTGTTATCTCCACAAAACTTAATATTTTTTTTATTCTAGAAAGCAGGATATCAAACATATATTAAACAAACAGATTTTGTAATTTTTTTCAAATTAGGAGCACAATGGTACGAGATAAAGGTATGATAATAACAATATTAGAAATTAAAAATTTAGTTAGTTTTTTAAAAAAGGAATAAGACTGCTAATTGTAAGAAAATCTATTTACGATTGCTACACAATCGTTGCACTTTTTCAAAATTTAATAAACTTAACATCGGAGAAAAATAATATTTCTTTTTGATCAAAGAAGCTGAGTACGTTATCTCACCATCCGTATTTTCTATTTTTGCACAATTATCGTGCAAATCCACTCGATCTACATGGAAATGGCTCAAGCTATCTTCCATTAGAAATAATTTATTATGTTTAAACATGAATCACATTTTTGTAATCACATTTTTGTAAGTTAAACAATGCAATATTAAAAAAATATGATATTTACTAAGCATAATAACATTATTATCTAAAAGAATGAAACATTTCGTCAATTATTGAATATTATTTATGCGAAGAAATCAAATTTTTGTAATATGTTTTCGAATCATGCATTGAATGATTATGGACGTTATGACATACAATTAAGCTATACAAAACTGTTTACGATTTGTGCAACATAGATAAAAGTATTAATATACGAAAATGACTTCCTTGATACATGATTTCTATATTGCCAGCTTGATACTCTTACAAATTTTTCTGTTGAAATTTTAAAATAGAAACGCGTTGCAATGCATAACAAGATAAACTCTTTTATTTGCTATCATAAAAGAATTTTTTTTTAATTGAATAATAATTCTTTTTAATTCACAAATTATATGTCAATCCTGTAATATAGAAATCGTTTACTTCGATGGATTACAATTTTATATAACGTTTGGCAAAAGCGCGTATGATTTTCCCCACATCGACACACGAAATAATAAACATCATTGACTTTATGTACAGCAGCTTGGACGTATGTAACAGAGCAGTACATTTAGCAGTTGTCATACGAAACAGATAGCCACGTTTTACATTACACATTCTTGTCGTTTATAAGCCGCTTTCAACATAGGAGAAGAAACGAGGTAATATTCACGATACGTTTAATTCAGAATTATTTTTATCGACTAAAATATCAAATTTATATGAGTTAAATTAATTTCAACATACATTTTATAACATCTTCTAAATCATAGCGACATTTATACTTTGTAGATCTTTTTTATCTTGAAAAGACATATCAAAATAATATTTCTTTGATAATTCTTGTGAGATTATGAATAGAAACAGTGGAAATGTATAGAAATTATTTATTTGTCAAGAATAATAAACTTTCTTTAAGTAAAATTCAAAGTACATAACTTTGTTCGATCGAATAATATCTATAACTTTACTTTCCAGAAGGATTGTTCTAGTATCTCATAACACTTGGTATTTTAAAATCCATATAATATCCTACCAATTTTGAATTGCATAAGATTTTTACAATAATGCAGAGTAAAGATATTGCTCAGAAAAGAAAAATAACATTTCATGAAGATTTCACGGAAAAAAGATCAAGGATTGAAGAAGAACCTTTATGTATACCTTACTGTTATTTGAACTATTCTTTGACAATGCGTACACTATTTCAGAATCTAGAAAATGTAATTTTACATGTGTTACGTCCTGATAGATGTAGAATTTTTTCGTTGGGCTCGGCGATCGACGTAAACGGACCTGACCGCACGAGCCGAGCGGCACGTTTAGGACTTGCGACGGGTCAGCGACTGGAAGAGTCGTTTTTACTCCGTCAACAAGTCAACCGCTCGTGGTTCCCTTTTTGGGTCAAGGAATTGAATCCCTATTACCCGGGGCGGAACCTTTGTGCGCAATTTGAGAGGGAAGGTGTGAGGGGGGTGACGAACGAGGAGGGTGTGGTTAAATGAAAAAGACAAAAGTTTAATTATTGAAGACAACATTTTAATTTGATTGAATTTATAATTAGGATACAAAAACTTAATTCTTAATCGCATATATTAATAATTTTATTATTGTATTCTTTACTAAGTGTTGTGTGTGTATGTGTGTGTGTGTGTG